ATGATGTCAAAAGGGGGAGAAAACACATATATTTAGTTGTATGGGAAGATGCATGAATTAAGGGGGAGCTCTTATGAAATATATATATTCTTAATCATGCTTATATATATACTTAATTGATTTAGTGTTTGTCATCATCAAAAAGGGGGAGATTGTTGGCACAAGTGCCCTTAATTCAACTCTTACTATTTTAATGATAACAAATAAAGATAATAAGTGTTTTTAACATATCTCCATTTGAGATACAGTTAAGAAGGAGCACAAATAAAGAACAAGGCATGGATTCATTAAGAAATGGATGACAAATGGAAAGTCTCTCTTCTTATCAACATGGGTAGTTTATAAATGGTGAGAGTAGACTAAATGTAAGGCAAATAGATTATAGCCCTTTGGTTTAATCATACAAACTATATTTTTTGTCACTTGAACTAACCAAACAGATGCACAATGTGACCGATCAAATGGCTTGATAAAATGACAAATTATAATTGATATGACCGATCACTTCATCCATGTAAACGATCAGATGACCTCAAGTGATCGAACAGATCACTTCATGTTATCGATAGGATGCAGAAAACAGTGAATTTTGCACAAATTATCATGTAATTACCGATCACTTCATCTATGTAACCGATCAGATGACCTCAAGTGATCGAATAGATCACTTCATATTATCGATATGATGAAGAAAACAATATTTCTGGAAAAACTAAAAGTTTTCATATAATCAATCAGATCATTAATGTAACCGGTTATATGCGTTTAAATCTTGAAAGTGCGAGGAAATAGGATCTCATCTAACCAATCACATCATCAATATAACATGTCAAATGCTTCAACTGTCCGAACAGATGAAGCATGTGTCCGATCACTTGATCTCAAGTGATCCCACAGATGAATCATATGATTGATCAGATGGGCAAAAAGTCCGAATCTTTTTGAACTGTAATAGTATTCTTGGCAAGTTTCAAACCCTAATCTCTTACTATTTAAACTTCTATATAACGAGTTCAAGGTTTTCATTACAACGTGTGAAAAACATCAAGAGAGAAAAACCTTGTGATCAAAAAGGAACTTGCATTGATCATTGTTTCATTCATATCATTTAAGCTTTAACCTTTGTGCTATATTCTATATCTACAATAGGCTTGTGACCTTTGATCTACGTATTAATTCTGAGAGTTTCTTTATTTTTCATTTATATTATTCAAACACCATTGTAAGGGTTGGAGTAACCCAGAAGAAGTCTAAAAGATGTCTGTTCTCTTAGTAAGAAGATTTAAAAGCGATGTGCTTCTTGTACCATTTTGCTCTCCACCTTTAAAGAGAAGTTTTATTGAGTTTTGGGAAGTCTCAAGAAGGATCTTGAGTCAAGAAGTAGGAGTTTCCGAACCTCACTAAATCTTGATATTCTAAGTTTGTTATATGTCTCTCTCTCTTTACTTTATTGTTCAAATATTATTGCCTGTATTGCTTATTTATTACTGTGCTTTTAAAAATTGTTTATTGTCTATCTTATATAATCTTTAAATTCGATTATTTAGTATCATTCTGTTTATCCCCCCCCCCCCCCCCCCCCCCCCCCCAGAGTCATTTCCTGGGTTACAACAAGCTCCACCATCATCTCACTAGGACTCTAACCCAATGCAAAAGTAAGTTCGTTCATAGACTCCAACACATGGCATTTCCCTGAGCTGCTCACAATATTAATCCCTGAACTAAGGTTACTCAAGCCCCCCACCAATCATTGCCAGACACCATCTCTTGGATTCCAGGAAACACAGGGAAATATAACCTCAAGCATACCATCACAGCCCATCCCACACTCAAGTCCCATGGTCCAACCTTGTGTGGAACTCAATGGCTATTCCGAGGCAAAAGCTGATCCTATGGATTGCAGTCCAATCTAAACTCCCAACCCTCGACACAAAATGCATGTCTTACCTTCAAACGGATAACATCTGCTACCTATGCTGCTCCATACCAGAATCACAATCCCATCTATTCTTTGAGTGTGATTATGTATCACCCCTCTGGAGCTTCATTGAAGACAAATGTTGGTGCTATACAAGGAGCAACAATTGGCCCCAATTCGTTAATTGGGCCACATATCACTGAAATTAGGGAAGTACTTGGAATGAAGTATGTAAGCTCGCCTTAGCCTCCATGATTTACCATATTTGGACAACAGGGTCTTTAGCCGCCCACCCTTCACACAATCCTCTGCTTTGAAGCTAGTCTGCAATTCAATCTCAAGCTCGCTGCGAACCAGGAAGAATGGAATCCTCTCACACCTAGCACAAGACTGGGCTTACTCTCCGGCAAGCAATAAACCTCCTCCAATGCCCCCGGACTGATACAAGCAGAGCTATCATCTCTACGATATGGCTGTCAAGGTCTCTGTCACCGGAATTGTTGGGATATCCATTTATAACTGCCTTAGCATGTTGGGCCTGATTTCATTTACACAATTGTAATATTCATTTTGTGATGTTTCATTTTGGGCTCTCCTTGGGCCTACTGTAACCTCCATTTCATATATATATATATATGTGTTTGCTTCACTTTCTGAAAAAAATAAAAATAAAAAATAAATAAAATAAAATAAAATAAAATAAAATAATATGCTTGCAAGAAACAACACAAAAAAGGGAGAGAGAGAGAGAGAGAAGTAGGGATATATAAGAAGGATATAAACTTTTCTTTTGACTAGTTATTTTAAATAACCAAACATATTTAGTCTAATAAGTATAACTTTCCCATCCTGAAAGAGGAACGTAGGGATTTGAGCCCCGGTATGTGCAAAAAGTATTTTGAATATGTTTTTTGCCAATTAAAAAAAAGGGATAATTTTAATGTTTTTTTTTTTAGTTTATTTTATGATTTAAAATTGGGAAGGGGGAAATTGGGAAGTAAAGGGCAGAGAAATAAATTGGTTATTTACCTCTTTTTCTTCTTTTTTTATTATTAATTTTTTCTATTTTTTTTCCATCCCTCCCTCCATTGGCCTCACCTGGTTTGGTCCAATCCCTCATTACCAAAACATGCCTTTACCCTTTGGATAGCCATCGAACAAAGGCTCCCCACACTCGACAAAAGATACACAGCACACATTAATTCAACATTATGCCCTCTCTGCAACTGTGAACCAGAGTCCCAGAACCACTTATTTTTCAAATGTGATTTTGTCAAACCATTGTGGACATTCCTTCAAGCACGTTGTGCGTACCATATCTTTCCATCTTCTTGGTCCAACTTTGTTCAATGGGCTGCACACCACTGGAGAGGCTCATCTGGAATCACAAGTAACTTGATCTCTAAGCTATGTCTGGCTTCATTGGTCTACAACATTTGGCTGGAGAGGAATAGGCGAATTTTCAAAAAGAAATCTCTTACAGCAAATTCAATCCTTCATCTCACATTAGAATCTGTTCGAGAGAAGATTTTGGTCTCAACTATCAAGGATGCTTGCAATTGCAGAAGAATAGCAATTGAATGAGAGGTTCCTGAATCATGTGTGCGTCCACCAGCTAAACCTCCTGATCAATCAAGGCGAACCTCAAGGAGATGAGGTTGGGGCTCAAAGCCATGTATTCCGGATTGTTGGCTGTCATCGGCCATTCCACAATTGCTATCCATGTGAGGATTTTTGTGTCTTTATTCGTTGAGGGCATGGAATATGTGGCTTTGGGCCTTTTTCTTGAAGTTAGCCTGGGCTAACTGCACTAATTGACCTTGGTTTGTAATCCATTTCTCTATTTATAATATTTATTTTACTTTTCAAAAAAAAAAAAAAAAAAAACACCAAGAGTAATAAATTGGATATCTTCCTATTGTTCACCTTCCTAAGAAATTGAAAGTTCAGTTACAAAAGCTTGTATTTACTGTATATCTGTTTTTTTTTTAAAAAAGGTACATTGACCGTCTGGGCCATAAATATAAAAGAGGTAAAGTATCTGAATTTTTTTTTTTTTTTTTTTTTTTAGAGACAAGCTAAAGATGCAAATTCATGAAACATGTAGCACAATGTGTTGGAACTAAAATTCTATCATTTTAGAGAAATTATTGGGTACTCTTAAAGCATTTACATTAGAGTGGGTTATTATATATACTATTTTGCCAGGGTTATGCAATTTTAACTAATAATTTTTCATCCAACAATATTTACCTACTCATTGAAGAGTAGATATCCCACTCGCCAGTCACCACTTATGTGGTCCACTTATATATACTATTAATATAAAATTAGGAAAGTATTAAATAAGAAAAACAACTTAATTTTGTAATTACAGATGATATGTGTATTTATGATTCAATCACATTAATGATCAATGAAAATCACCTGGTTAACCATTTGTCAGAGTAAGAAAATATTGTATCTTTCATCATCTAAGTATAGGATCAAAATTCTAAATCATTTGGAGCCCTACAATACATTATATAGTATTTGTTCCCCGAAAGTGAGGAGAATGTTAAAATGCTCATCAGAAAAATATTAAAATGCAAGGCAAGGCTTACGTTATAACATTTTGTCACTAATTTTCTTCAACCGGCCAAATACTACTGGAGTGGATTTTAATACATATAACGTCTGCAAACACGTCCCACCAATAACTGCAATAGGTTTAAACAAATGGTTAAGGCATTTTTATTGTGTTACGAATGGAGTTAAGTTAAATACATAGTAACTAACACTTCAATCCTTACACGGAGGTTTCGGAAGTGCACACCTGACATCTCTGTATAAACTTTCCGTCTCCTCTCTCTCTCTCTCTAAAAACAAAAGAGAGTCGTCCATGTTTCTCGCTCAAGTAATACAAAATACATGCTCTTAGACTCCTGCATAGGATCTACATATAGGTTTATATCAGTATGTATCGATCATGTATGTACGGAGAGAATTTAGTTGTAGAGTGATATATATATATATATATACACATATATATATGATGGGATATATTGGATTTTTATTGAGTGAAAAAGTGATGAGGTTGGTATTGGTGAATATGATGGTAGTGAAGGCGTTGGCTTCACAAGATTATGGAGACGCATTGTCCAAAAGCATTTTGTTCTATGAAGGCCAAAGGTCCGGCAAGCTACCACCTACTCAGCGTATGAATTGGAGGGGAGACTCTGCTCTTTGCGATGGCTCTGATCTTAATGTAAGTCTCTCTCTCTCACGCACATACACACAGTCAGTCATAGTTGTTTAATGGTTTGTAGTTGATGCATGCGGTACAACATATTTTTTAAAATAATTTTTTTTTTTTTTTCTTTTTTTCTTTTTAAATTTCTTGTTACATGTTGAAGAAAGTGTTACATTTCCTAATAGAACCAATTCAACCAAAGCCCTTCCCTACCTGATTGAGTCCAATTATTCTAAAATCACGGTGACCTCTCTAATTAACCAATTCAACCAAAGTCCTTCCCCACCTGATTGTGTCCAATTCTAAAATCACGGTGACCTCTCTAATTTTAAAATTAGGAAAGTATTAAATAAGAAAAATAATTATTTTGGTACAAATTCAGCCACCTTATATATTTTTCTTATTTTACTGATTTTGTAATTATCGATAATTTGTGCACAATTTGTGGACTTGGTGAATAAGTAAGTATTATTCTAAAATTAATCCCTTGTGAGCAACTACAACTGTGAAAACAATTGCTTGAATTTCCAAAAAATAATAATAATAAATAAATAAATAAATAAAATGATTGGACCAAGACAGTAAAGTAAATCTACCAGTGGGATAATAATAATGAAGAGAGTAGGACAGGTAACGAGGATGTTTTATTTCAAAATGTTTAAGGAAGGTAATTAATATATGACTCTTAATCAAATGTATACGTTACTATAAATATTCAAATATATATATATATAATCTAATATCCACCTATATATGGAAACTTATATATGATCTTTCAACTGTGTTTCCCCTGAGATTTTAGATAGCAACACAAAGTTGAGATTTTCTTTTTTTTTCGAGTAAGGCAAGTGATTTAGTCATATCATTAATTATACTATTCTATTCACGACTAATGGTCTGTTGCAACAATTTAGTATAAATTTGTGTGCGTAGTATGTACCTCGAATTGTATAGAAATAGATATAGAGATAGAGATAGATATAGGGGTAGAGAGAAAATGAGGGCGATGAGGATGTTGGTTTTGGTGTGCATGATGGTAATGATGGTCATGAGGGTGGCTTCACAAGATTATGGAGAAGCCTTGTGGAAGTCTATTATGTTCTATGAAGGCCAAAGGTCCGGGAAGTTACCCTCTGCTCAGCGGATGACTTGGAGGAAGGACTCCGGTCTTCGTGATGGCTCTGACCATGGTGTAAGTCTCTCTCTCCCCCTCCATAGTTATAAGGTTTTTTTCGCAAAATCACATTGGATTCCATAGTTATAAGTTTATATGCTAAGGTTGTAGGATTATTTATTTATTTTTGCTTCTTCTTCTTCTTCGATAATTGGGGTATTCGGAGCAAAACCACATTGAATTCCATGGTTATAAGTTTATATGCTAAGGTTATAGGTTTTTTTTTTTTTTTTTTTTTTTAATACAAATAATATTTAATCTCATAGGGGACTAAATAAAAAAAAAAAACAAATTTTTCCTTCAACTTGAAAGACACATTTTGTTGTAGTTTTTTGAGGGTTTGGAATGTGACTTTTAGAGTCATTATAAAAAATGTAAGAAAATATAAATGAATTCCTTTTTCTCCGTAGAGTAAGAGATGACTACTCTATATACGTAATACCATAAATGTAAATGCTATTTACATGTGAAAGAAAACGTAATTAATACGAAACACTATAGGGGAGACAAATAATTGATTTATGTTCATTATAGATAAAATGAGTATATATAGCATGTAAATTAATTTTGAAATTTGTATCTTTATCAATTATTTCCATCCATAGAATGTTTTTAATAACCACTCAATTCAAAGGATGACACGGGTAATCTTTAATCATGTAATTAAGTGCGCCCTCGCCATCCTAATTTTCCACCACAAATTAGTAGTTATATATGAGGGATCATTTATTCTTCCAAATCTCGATGATTTTGACAAGAAACAATATTTGATCAACTTTTCTAAGATTGGAGAGCTAGAGATGGTGTATAGGTCGTGCACATATAACACAAATATATATTAGTTTAAATTTATACCATTTCTACGAAATCATTGTTCAACTGCATCTTTTTTTTTTTTTCTGTACTATTGATTTTTAATTCTTGCAAAAGGAAATTATTTATAATCGTTGATTATCATGTCAATTTATCAAAATTCATTAGATGAATTCGAGAGTAAGAGCGAGAGCGTAAGGGAAAATTAAGTCAAAAACATTTAGAATTGTTTTCTTTTTCAAAATGTGGGACCTGCATGATTTGTTTGGAAAATTATTAACTTATCCTTTTAAGTTTTGAATATTTAAATTTAAAATTTTAAACTTAAAGGGTATATATGAAAATATGTAAAATGTATTTTTTGAAAAAAAAAAGTGGACTATTATTCTGGGAAAGATTAAAGCATGACACTTATTTTGGAACAGAATGAGTATTATTACAAACGATGGGTGTGGGACACAAATCTTCATCTGCCCCAACTTAATAGTTAATAGTTAGTACTGCCCTACTGGACCAGGAAGCTGTACCAGCTTTAATAGCTACACTTAATTGATCCCAAATTACAAATATATATATGTATATATGTGTATACCGTGTACACACACATATATTTATAATTATTACTTTAGAGAACCCTTTAGATAAAACATAATTTAGATAATTGTTTCCTTTCCAAAAAGGAAATTGACCAAGAAAAACTTCTTGCGTTTGGAAAGACCGAAAATTTGACAGGATTTGATTCTGAAATGGAATTATTCATATTGATGAATAAATGAAGTAGAAATTGGAATTGGATTCAACAGAATTTCTAATTCAAAAATATAGTGTATTGAAAAATCATCAAAAAGACTAGGGTATATAGTTTAGTGGTATTTTCTCATCTTGAACCTTCCTTTAAATTTTCGGAAGGACTTGTGGCTCATGTGTGAGTTTGGTCGGATTTTATGTGCAATATATAACACTGGTACCATTCTCAGGTGGATTTGGTAGGGGGCTACTACGACGCAGGTGACAATGTTAAGTTCAACTTTCCAATGGCATACACAACAACCATGCTGGCTTGGAGTGTATTAGAATTCGGCAGGTTCATGGGCTCAGACCAGCAACATGCAGTTGATGCTCTAAGGTGGGCAACAGACTACTTCCTGAAAGCCACAAACATCCCTGGCGTCGTCTATGTTCAGGTTGGTGAACCCTATGGTGACCACAATTGCTGGGAAAGGCCCGAAGATATGGACACCCCCCGAAACTCCTATTTGGTTAATGAAACCAACCCTGGTTCGGAGGTTTCAGCTGAGATAGCTGCTGCACTAGCAGCCTCTTCCATGGTGTTTAGGTTCTTTGATCGCAAATACTCCAAATTGCTTCTTCAAAGGGCTACCAAGGTAATCTGGATTGATTAGGCTTTTTTTTTTTTTTTTTTTTTTTTTTCTAATTGATATTCACACGCAGCATGCCTACTTGGAGGCTTGAACCCTTGACCTTCCATTGAAAAGTAAGGACTTGATACCGCTGGGCCACTGACCCATTGATAATGAACATTTTGTTTTTTATGACAATAGTAACTAATTATGGACATCTGTGGATTAGGTTTTTGAATTTGCAGACAAGTATCGAGGATCTTACAACGATAGCGTTGGCGAGGCAGTATGCCCATTTTATTGCGATTTCAATGGCTACGAGGTAAGCATTAGAACAAGTTTCTAAAGTTCAAATGTGCACAATAACACACACATGAAAGTAACTTGTCATTTGCCAATATCTTATGGATTAGGGTTTGCATTGCAGGATGAACTGATATGGGGAGCAGCATGGCTACACAAAGCCACTAAGTCTAAATTTTATTGGAATTATGTTGTAGACAACATGCATACATTGGATAGCAATAATTTGCATAGCTATATTATATTGAATATAAATGGCCACCCATCCAAATTCCAAGGTGGCTACGCGGAGTTTGGATGGGATGCAAAGCATGCTGGAATCAACATACTCGTTTCCAAGGCATGTACATTACCGTTATCATCTTCTCATTTCTTGAATTACTAAAGAATAATAATTTAGAGTCTGAAAGTCGGACAACTCCGACTGATTTATATGTGTACGGCTGACATTATCATGATATCTATCAGATATGTTCGATAATTGGACTTCCTATAATTACTCTTCACTAAATTTAATTTCTCTCTTATCGTGTTAGTAGTTTGTGTTAAATGGCAAGTTGGAATCGAGTTCCTTTCTTCCCTACGCGGACAAGTTTGTTTGCAGCATCTTGCCTGAATCACCTAGCAAAACTGTCTCCTACTCTCCAGGTGCCTAGCTAGTTCTCTATATCTTTTTCTTCTCGATCTTTTCTTCTTCTTTTTTCCCAAGCTTAAATTTAGGTCGATTTGTGTTTGTTTTTGTTTGTGTTCTGAACAGTGTTAAATTTATCTTGACCAACACTATAATGTTTGAATGTTAGGTGGGCTTCTATTCAAGCCAGGGACCTGCAATTTGCAGCACACAACAGCTTTATCTTTCCTTCTTCTCACTTATGCTCGATATTCGAAGCAGTCCAAGAGGATGATTCACTGTGACAATGTTGTTGTTCCTCCATCCAGGCTTATACATTTCGCAAAAGGCCAGGTATGCAGTATGTTTTGTTTTTCGGTAGAAATGTGTATGTTGTGTGTGTGTGTGTATATATATATATATATGAATAATGATAAGTAGCACAAAAGTCAATGTGACGTCATCTCTCACTAAGGTAAATATAGTCCCATGCGACCACTCTTGAATTCGGTATTAAGCCACTAATGTTTAAATTTTGGTCATTAAGTTTGAAAAAATGATCATAGAAGAGCTTGATGTCACTATTTGTTTTCAAATTTGGCCATGTGCATGACATTTTTAAAATATAAAATTTAAAAAATACTATTTTCTCTTTCAATAATACCCTTATATATAAGAAGAAAAAAAGGAGGGAGACACTTGGTCACTTCACAAATTATAGTCAATGTGACGTATATATATGAAAAAATTCATATAATGTCCCCCCAAAAATTTTTATTTTCTAAAATTATCTCCTAAATTTTGTATATTTTCTTTTTTTTACTCTTTAAATTCATTTTTTTAATTTCCTTTAAAAAAATTCAAATTTTCCTTTTTGAATCAAACTCAATTTATTTAATTTTTTTTCCTTTCAAAATTATCTCATTTTTCTTTCCTTTTTAAATTTTTTGTTAACTATTTAGTTTTCTTAAACTACTCATTGATTGACATATTATTTTGAGTAACTTTTCTTCTTTGTCTCTTGATGTGAAGAATCTATATTTATTGTTGTGTTTTTTAATTTTTTAATTTTTTTTTTTACACTATGCCTAGCTGCTCGGTTAGAGCATCTCCAACCACTGTATAAATTGGATGTGTCATGATAGATTCGCACAAAAATTTAGGTTATTCATTTTTAGTTCCAATGGTTATTTTATATCTTTTGTATAAAAATATATTTCCAATAACAATCCACCAGTGTCATGCCTGAACCCCACATAATTTTTACAAATCTACTTAATATAGGGTTGATTCGTTAATGGAATGAGAAAGAAGGAGAAAAAAGCAAATATGCCAGGTTGTGTAAAATACACAACAATTTTACACATTTTTGATTTGTGTATCGCGGGAGATAAAAAAGAATTTACACATTATACGTGGCAGTATATGTTTTACACAAAAAAGTGTTTTAACATACTACTGCTGGAGATGCTCTTATATACGTATAACTTTAAACAATTAACCTCAGAATATATATAATTGTTGCTTAGATTAACATAAAGATGCAATATATAATTGTTGCTTAGATTAACATAAAGATGAAAAAATGCAGGTGGATTACATTCTGGGAAAGAACCCATTGAACATGTCATATATGGTGGGATATGGCGAAAAGTTTCCTCAAAAGATACACCACCGGGGTGCGTCGTTACCTTCGGTTGATCAACATCCACAACACATCGACTGCAAAGGCGGAAGCCCATACTTCGGAAGCAGCAACCCTAACCCTAACGTGTTGACAGGAGCTATTGTTGGAGGGCCTGATATCGATGATTCATTTCAAGACTCCAGAGCTGAATTTGGGCAATCAGAGCCTACTACATACAACAATGCACCTTTTATAGGACTACTAGCTTACTTCAAAACACATTTTGTTAGATGATTTATAGATAAACATATTTTGATCATTTTATTTTATTTTTTTTATTTTTTCCTAGTTGATACACACACATATGCTTCCACCGAGTTTTATACTACTTACCTCCCATTAAAAAGTAGCAGTCTAGTACCGTTAGGCCGCTAGCCTGTTGGTATCTTGATCAGTTCAATTTCTTGTTCACTTAATATTTATGATTGATGTTAAGGAGTATTAAGAAGTAATTAATTGTTATTGCAGCTGAAATCAACTAGAGTACATTTATTATTTGGGGTGTATCAAAGATCATCCGCCACATTTTATTTATTTCTTATTATTATTTTTTTGAATGGTAAAACCTTGAAGGTATAACGTGTACATGCCCAAGTAGAACAATTGCATAGCCCAGCATCTCTTATTATTAATTTGATTACTAAATTTGGGCTGGTAATTTTTAATGAAAATATTTTTATTAAATATATCATTTTTTCCAACAAAAGTTTTCAAGTGATCAAACAACTTTAATCATGGAGGCAATAATAGGGAATAATTTAGGGCCTGCTTGGTTTGTAACCTCTAAGAATAGTTTTTTATTTTCAGAATTTTTTGAAAATTATTTTTTAAAAACTCCTTTAAAAAAAATGTCTCTTTTCAGATAACTGTTTTTTATAGACCTGCTTGATTTGTAACTTTGAAAACAGTTCTCAAAAACTCAAAAAATATAGTATAGTTTTCCGAGAATAATATAAGACTTCTCTAAAAATAAGCCTTTTTTAATTGAGTTTTTAGAAAATTGAACCAAACTGAGGGCCTGCTTGGTTTGTAACTTTGAAAACAGTTTTTTGTTTTCAAAAAACTAAAAATATAAAATTATACAAAAAACTCTCCTTGGTTTATTTTTCTGAAAACTCAATTATAAAAATGTATATTTTTAGAAAAGTTTTTTATTGTTCTCGGAAAACTATTCTATATTTTCTGAATTTGCGATAATTATTTTTAGAGTTACAAACCAAGCAGGGCATAGAAGGGCTTGAAAGGAAAAGTCCCGATTTGCATGCAGCTCGAAAGAGTAAAAGAAAAAAGAGAGATTTGTCTGATTTTCCTGATGCGTGACAAGCAAGTGCTTGGGAATGTGGGGTAATTGTTAAGGGAAAAAGATAACAACAATGCAAGTTCAAATCGACAGTTGAAATTCAATGAAAATAACGATTAGATGATCCCTCTCCCAAAATCTCTCCCAAGATCGTGACAAGGAGGTTGGTTAACTCTTTACCAAAAAAAAAAAAAACGAGGCCAGTCCATTAATTATGTATGCAAAATTAAATATAGAATTTATTCTTTAATATACAAGGTCCTAACACTGACTTGATCATCAAAGGGTACTCGGCTGGCACCCCACCGGTGTCAAGTTTTCATCTTCATGTCTCTCTTTCCTTGCAAGAAAAGCCTCGGCTCCAGATCATGCAGATTTACACATCAACATGATAACTTAAATTCATTTCCTCATGCTTATAAAATTGCATTTTTATTAAGCATATGTACAAACATTAAAAACATTTTATACATGCACACACCTATAATAATAATATGTAAGAGTGGAAATGCTATGCAAACGCTCTGCTCCTACTCTGATCAAATTTTAAATTTTACTAATTTCATGCTTCTGCTCTCACACTCGTTGTGGCTGCTGCTATGGTGGCACTTGTGATTATACAATGGCGAATAGTCTTAACCTTAGTCACACAATTCGTCCAAAGAGGGCCCGCTTTCAAGCTCTGCACGTGAATTTTCGATTTGGGAGTGAATTCGCATAAAATCCGCAATTCAATTTTTGCAATTCGTGAATTCCATACGAATTCACTTTATACAGCTAAATTTGTTAGAGTTCTAGTAATATGGAATACCTATATTACCACATATGCATTTATTACTTACACTATTACTCGATATATGCTCCAGCTATATGGCATTGTTATACTACCATATATATATATATATTACACATGTTTGAAAATATACTACAAGAAATGTGGGCTTTTACGACATAATATTTACGGGGCTTCTTTATTTTGCCTCGTGATTACCACCATTTACGGAGTTTTTAAAAGAATCCTCATTATAGGACATGCTTTCACGAGGATTTAGTAAAATCCTCGTAGAAAAATATTTTTACGGTGTATTAAAAAGCTCGTGAATATTTTGATATATTTACGGCATATTTGTACACCTTTAACGGGATAAATGTTTCTCGTTGATAAAACACTCATTTAAGGCCTTTTTTTTTCCCCGTAAATAAGCAATTATTAAAATTAGTTATATATATATATATATATATATATATGAACTTAAGTTCTTTTACAGTGTATTGAAGGGGCCGTGAATAAATTTCACATTTAAGGCGCCTTTTTTGCCCTGTAGATAAGCCAAAAAAAATTTGAAGCCAAAAAAAAATTCCCCCCTCCATGCCGTTGGCGGGAAATTTAGCGCTAAATTTTTTTAATGGTGTATTAAAGATCCCGTGAATAAATTTCACATTTAAGGCAGCTTTTTTGCCCCGTAGATAAGTTTCACATTTAAGGGGGCTTTTTTTCCCCATAGATAAGCAATACTATTTTACTAAATAAAATTTTCCCCCCTTTGTGCCGCTGGCGGGAATTAACTTTGCGCCAAATAAATAATTTTTTTTAATAGAAAACATAATGAAAAATTAGTCTCACCTTATGAAACGATGTAGTTTTTATCAATAGTGCGTCCAACTCTGCTCTTTCTCCTCTCTCTCTCTCTCGTCTAAGCCCTAGATTTCTCTCTCTACTCTCTCTATCTCTCTCTCTCACGTCAAAGCCCGCTTTCTCTCTCTTCTCTCTCTCTCTCGCATCTAAGCCCTAGCTTTGTCTCTCTGCTCTCTCTCTCTTGCGTCAAAGCCCTAGCTTTCTCTCTCTGCTCTCTCTCTTTAGATGAAAAAGATGCGGACAAGATGATGTTGTAGATTCGATATAGCCTCCCTATTCGAGTTATCTCTCTGGTTCGCCTCTCTATTCAAGTTCTCTCTCTGGTTTGGACACGAGAAACAACCATTTGGAGCCACAATTTCTTCGAATTTCAGATGGCTTTACACATCAATTTGGAGCAAAAAATTGAGGTTCGTCTATCTCTTTCTATATATGTATCTATTAGTTTTGATTTTTTGATTAAGAGTGTTTTATTTAATTAATTTATTTTTTTGGATTTTTCTGTAGTTTTTATTTTTATTTTTATTTTATGAAAATACATATTATAAGGTTTCAAAATTGCAAGTGAAATTGTAGATTTATTGCAAGTGAAATTGCAGATTTGGAAGAACTTGGTGACTAATGAAAAGTTTTGCTTGTTTGTTGTTCTTTCATTTGCTGATTTTTGGTGTCAATGTGCAGATGTAGTCCGCTTTCCATGGTTGCTTTCACTTTCTTAAACGGTTATTACCAACTGAGGATAAGTTAGTAAGTTCTTCTTTTTCCTCTTTCCTTGGGTAAAGTTGTCGTCTTTTGCTATACAAAGTACCTTATCTATATGTCATTGTGTTCCTGCTTTATATGCTTATGAGATTCCAGATTTTAATTTTTTTTTTCTCTTGGTTATGTATAATGATATATTTATGCACTCTTCTGTATCTATATAGCATAATATATGGAATCTTAAACAGGAAGAGGTGATATCACTTGGTCTGAGCCTTTGCTATGAAAATTTGTCCATGGAAGTAAAAACATGTATTATATTTTTGTTTTCCTAAACAAATTATTTAATAAAGCAAGATATTTGAATATTCCATTTAGAGAGTTCTGCCTCTTCCCTTCAGTTATGTCCCTGAGAGGCTTCAGCCCAATCCTTCTCAAGTCAATTTGTGCCAAACCCTTGTATAAGCAAGGATATAAACAATGGAGCTTGAATGAAGCAGCAAACAGCTTATAGCAGACTCAATTTTGCTGCTTCTGTGATACCTCAAATCAGAGGGTATAAATGACAATTTACAATGTCTCAGGCCTTGAACATCCTCTCATAACCTTGTATCTTCTTCACACAGAAGCTTAGATGATAAGCAAATCAATAATTAAATTAAATTCAGTTCCAAAATCTGCTCATAATAGGTTTCTGCAGAACCTAAACAAGCTGAGGGTAAAACTGTAATTTTGAGGTTAGACTTCCTTGGATATAGATCCCACACCACTGAATTAACATATTACACTTGCTCAAATCGTAATATCTCAGTTTATAGCAAGGTAATATCAAATTACAAATCAAAGTGAGATTCACAGGTTGAATTCAAGAGCAGCACTGTTCTTAGGGACTTAAGGTTATTTCTCAGCTACATTATTTTGTTTTTGATTTTCTCAGTCATGTAATATCAAATTACCATTACACAGATAAAGAACATAGCAATGAAACAGTTGAATTTCAGTCATAGCACTCACAGCACACACTCAGCAGGCTTTTTAAACTTAAAACCTTGTTTAGGGAGGTTTATGAGGTCAAAACAAGAACAAACCAATTTTCTGGTTTATAATCAACTTCAACAGCTTCAAATCATCAATACAATAATGCTCAGATGATGTACAAGCATAGTATAGCAAGATTATATCATGATAAACTCAGTTCCAACAGTATAAACCAGAAAAACAAGTTAAATTGAGGGTTTGAGATATGAGATTCTAGACCAGCTTTGATATGTGTTCCCTAATGACTTCAGCTAATATAAACCACCAAGATACACTTGCTCACCCCTTGTTCTAGTTTAAGAAATAGCCATAACAAATTTTCACCTTCTCAGCCTCATTTTTCACCATAAATCATCTTCACAGTCCCTTATAGTCTTCATTAGATCAGCACCTTTGTATGTTGATTCCAAAGGTCAAACACAGCATAACTCTTCAAAGAATCACTTTGAAATCATCCTGAACTATTAGCTTTCGAGGACCTTTTCATTTTCAGCTCATGAGGTTCATTTTTGGCTTTCAAAAAGTGCACTCTCAGTTCTAAAGCTTATTTTCAGTTTCTCTCTTGTACACCCTTCTACTGCTGCTATAGCAGCATATATATATCAAAGAAATTGCTGCCCTAGTATGGATGAGTATTCTCCATCACTGGCCAATTGTAGATACTGATATAATCTGACATTGCATACACTAAATAGACCAAACAACCCCTGTGCAGCCCTAGCTTGTATCACACAAACCACCTTTTCTGCAGCTTACATTGTCATTGTACAATGTTGATACATATACAGCTGAGAGCTTTATTTTTCTGTCATTATCCTATCACTCTAGGACCACTGTTCACGTGGCTCAATGTAGGGGTCCTTTATTGCACAATGAAAATACTAAGAAATACTAAAATTTCCCTCAACAAGGATATATATTGCTGCAATGGCTATGATGTATATATATACCTGATAATAACCTCTGTGGTGTAA